GTGCAATGCAATGGCAACAGATATAATAAACTGAAAAAACACAAATAATGCAACAATATTCCACCAATTAAAAAATGATCAGGGGAGGGGAATGAGGTGTGATTTCATTTGTTTGTCCTTTTTCTTCTTCCTTGTCTTTAGGCTTATCCATGTATCAGGGGTCAACTTTCTCCATCTCTTTCTATCTTGTGTGTTTTCCTCTGCAGCACCTAGTTGCTTCATATCTTCTCTGGTATTGTGCCTTTGCATCTCTTTCCTGGTGGTGCCACCTGCAACAATCTTCGGCCAAGGTAGTTCTCTTCCCTTCTCTTCACGTGACCTAAGCATCTCAGTCTCCACTCTGTTGACTTCTCCCCAAGCCTTCTTGTAGCTATCCTGTCCTTCACTGTCTCATTCCTTATTCTTTTTTTTTCGTGTGAGACCCAGAGTGAATCTCAACATTCGCTTTTCTGCCACCTCCATCTTTGCTTCTTGTAACTTTGTTACTGGTACTGTCTCCATGCCATACAACATTGCTGGTCTTACACACGTTCTATGGATTCTCTTCACTCCTAATGGCATGTTCCTGTCACACAAAACTCCCGTCAATTTTCTCTACCCATTCTATCCTGTTTGGACTCTCCTTTTAATCTCAACATTGTTAGATCGTTCAGTCTTCTGTTGAATTCAAATTCTTAAAATCATTCACTTTCTTGATCTCTTTCCCTTGCAACTTAACTCTACCATCTCCTTCCTTTTCATTTACACAGAGATACTCTGTTTTCTTTCTGCTCACTTTCATGTCATGTCTCTCCAGTGCTGATCCCTGGTGTAGTCCAACTTCCACCTTAAACCCTTCTGTGGTACCCACTGCACTTCTTACTGCTGTCATACACTCATAATACATAGCTTGTACCATCCTTACATACACTTCCCGTATCGATGACTCCTGCATGCAGTGCTACAATTCCTCTTATGGTGCACTATCACATGCCTTCTCTAGATTTATGAACACACAATCCATCTGCCTTTTCCCCTCTATTTACTTTTCCATTAACCATTTTTATGCTCTGGTATATAAGCAGACTGTTCATCACAAATTTTGAAGCAATTCCTTAGCCTTGTGTCTGTCACCCTTTCCTACAATTTTGCCCCTCTTCATCTTCAGTGCCTTCTTTACCTCATCTTGTGTTACTCCGGCAACCATTACCTCTGCCATCACCCCATTTTCCTCTCTCATCTCCCTGGGGTTTTCAGCATTCATCACCTCTTCGAAGTAGTCTTTCCATCTCTGCAACACCTACTCCTCTTCGGTCAACACCTTATCCTCAGCATTCTTTATCAGCCTGATTTGCTGTACATCCTTTTCTGCTCGATACCTCTGTTTTGCCACTCTATATACCATGTTTTTCCTCTATTTCATATCCAACTTCTCATACATCTATTCATTCGCTTCTTTCTTTGCTTTCACTACTGCCACCTTTGCCTTGCATCTCAGATATTTTCTCTTGTGCCACTGTTTTCTTGTACCCTTCTTCTCAGTTGTCACATCAAGCAATTCCTTTGTTGTTTTCTCGCAGACAGAGCAGTCTCTACCACTTGATTCTAGGTTCTGCCTTTACCTCTCTTCTCCTTAGGCTCGTCAGCTTCATTTTCCCAATGACTACATGGTGTTGTTATGCCTCGCTTTCACCTTCCTTCAAATGCACCCTGCAGCACAGGATGCAACCAATCTGAGTACGTCTGCCTCCACTTGTGTATGTGACCTTGTGTGATTCACCCTTACTGTAAAAGGTGTTTATCACAGCCATGTTTGTGGGATGGGTGTAGTTAAAATAATGATTGACAACAAGGAATTTTGTAACATAATGTTAGTGTGTTTGTTGTGGGCGACTGCTAGAAGAGCAATAGCTGTTCTGGCGCTAGTAGACACTTATTTCAACAGTGGCGAGAATGTATTGGTGGTCGTGGGTAGAACTGTGACTTCAAGTCTATGCTGACAAGGATTCGTGAAGGTTTATCAAGGTAAGTGAGCCGAATTGGTGAGTGTGGCAGCATAAAGTGCAAGAATATACCTTCAATGACTTCGTCAGGAGGTTAGCACTGACATGAGTGGTCAGCACGAAGTAATAGGGCAGTAACGAGAATCGGCAACAGAGCGTCAGTGAATTGTCGTTGTAAGGTCCGACCTCCACTTGCCACCAGATCTGAACGGAATCCCACCACTGCCACCCGTCGTCAAGGAAGATTGGAAATACCACTGCAATCAGATGTGAAGGTAAGACCACTGTCACTAGAGGCTAAGGCAAAACCACTGTCGCCAGATGGTGTTCTCTTCCGCCCGCTGGAGATTCATTCGGTTGTGGTAAAAGGTGGTGAGTTTACGAGGCTTCCTCAAGGGGGGTATGTGGGCCACCTGGAAGGCATTTGCCTTGGGTAAATTAGGCTCGGGGAATGATATTGTTTGCAGTATGCATGTATCTAATTATCTATCTGTCTATGTATATATACACACACACGT